CTTATTGAGTAAGAATAAGCTTACAAATACCTGGCAAAGAGCAGGTAGTAAAACATAGCTACAGTCTCACTATGTATTATTGTTGATATGTTTATTACATGCTATTACTTTGAGATAGGGAAAAAGTCACCTGAAAAAGAAGTAATATGAAGTTCAAAAAACAACCCAGAACTTTGTCATTTTCACTGAAAATCATCACAGTAGAAATCAGTGGTCAAGTTTAATCAATGGCTGAAAATTGACTGATAAATTTATCTGGATATCATAATTTCTAAAGTGTATGACAATGGTTAAATATGATTATCTTTATATGCTTTAGAATTAGTTAATAAACAAGCAAAGATTTCTGTTTCCTAATGTCTCAGCATAAAGAATAGAAGTTAACATTTTCTGAATCAAGGCAGAGATTTGGAGTGCAAGTGTAGAAAGAGAGCCCAGCACACTGAGGGTGCCAGGTCATGCCTCTCTCTTGGCTGTCCTTTCCTCCAGATGTCCAGGGACCAGCATGCAGGGTGTCATTATTAAGGAACACCACAGAAAAGGGCCCTTGAAACTGTCAACATCATAATGCCTATCAAACAAAGGGAAGCTATTATTCACAGCGCAATATTACTTTTCAGCAGTTCAGTGGAGTACAGTCCTTCAGAATCAAACTGTGGTGGATTAAGTATCACAGGATTATAAAAAGGGAACATTTGGTGTCATCACAAAATAGTATTATCATGTAATTTTTTGTACTAGACACTCAGAAATCAGGTCTGAAAACAAAGATTTTTAGAGGCGAAAAACACTGTGAACCGTAACAAGTAACAATAATCCTTTCTCAACCACCTGGGAGCTGTTAAGGACTCCTGCATCTTTGCTGCTGGTCTTTCCCCATGGAAGCTGCCTCCCCTTGCACCTGTTGGGCTTTTCCACTTTCTTGTCCAAATTAGGGAGGTGCTGTGCCTCTGCCCTCAGGAAATTCTCTCCTGGTCCTTTTAGGTCAAGTTTAAGGCTCCCTTCTCTGGAGAGCTTTTACTCATGTTTCCTTTGCCCCATGCTGTTCTGCATGCTGTCCAACTCTTTTGATAGCTCAGCTGTACACTATAAGGCAATATAAATAGGTAATACTGGTATTATATAGATAGATAAATGTGAGTATCAATATGCATTTGCAGAAATATCTGTATTATTTATTATTTCATATGAATAGGTTCATTTTCTTTTTGTTTTGTGTTGTTGATGAACTCGGAGCTTGTGCATGCCTGTGAATGGGTTTTGTTATCGCTAACTCTACTGTAATTGCCTTACTGGAAGTTTTCCTGCTACATAATTGATTTTCCAGTTTGTTCCCCTTAGTCTGCTCATCAATAAATGTGTTTTGGTTGATTAATCATTTATACCTTTCTTGCTTTGGGTACATGCATATTTTGAGTTTGTCTCACATTTAGCACCAAAAGGTTTGACTGGGTTTGTTTTATTGTTTGTAAATATTGCTCCCTCTTCAGTGGGGGGGAGCAGCTGTACCCAGCCTGTTGACCTGGGGCTTGGTTTGGAGACACTGCAGGAAGTGGTTGTGGATGGCGGGACGAGGGCCGCAGCCGAGCGCAGCAGGCACTGCGTGGTTCTGCCAGCCTCCTTCCCAGCTGCTCTTGGCTGTGAGGATAGCCTGACCCTGCCTGGACTAGAGGGTCCAGCCATGGGATGATCCAGGTCTGATCCCAAGCCAAGCTCAGCCATGTCGCTGTTGCCTTAGTGGCTCCTAACTGAGAAATCGTGCTTGAGACTGATACTTTGGAACGTTTTGCTACACAGAAAAATACCATATTAAAACACTATAAAATTAGTCTAGCTTTTCTGTTTTGTAGATAAGCTTTTATGTTTAGCTAATAGATAAGTTACATCAGAAATCGAGAACTACTAAGTTTTAGATCTCTTTTTAATAATATGAAAAGCTTGGCCTTTTGGATTCCTAATATTTGAAGAAATGCAAATCAAATAATCTGAAATTTGAAGCATTAACATTCGTTATCCATAACTGACTGAAAACAAAGAGCTTTATCAGGATCCCCCGCAAGGCACTTCTACCTGTGAGATGTTAATTTCTCTGAAGTCCAAGCTTGTTTGGTAGAAGTTAGAATGTATTCACTGTGATCCTTATGGATTCTTTTCCAGCCAGTCTTTCACATATATTATTAATCTCAAATATATATTTTACAATCTCCTTTCTTAACAATTTTCTTACAAAAGAATTTCTTCGAGAACGTGATAATTTCCTAATACATGGTCTCCTTGATTTGCATGACAAGGGCTCATATATGCTTTGATAGAAGTGGGAAGCTTTATATTTTTACTCCTTTGCTTTAAAAATTCTAGATGAAAAATATCCCTGCCATTATGTGCTGTAGAATATTAGAATTTTAACTTGGACCTAAAGTTGATTTTATGTTTCACCATTCTTAGAGATGGATTAGTTTTCTTAATGATGTTTATTAGTTCTTAAAACCTCAGATACTAGACTGCTTAATTAAGTTTTAAGAAAAATTTATAATATAGTCAATTTATTTGTCATATAATTTTTTTGAAAATAAGTCAAATTATATACAGCAATATTATTCCTACATGAAAAACAAGTAATACTTGAATATATGGTTGAAGAAGTAGTCTTGCCGCTTATAGCTACTTTTGTTTTTCTTTTTCTTTATATTTTTATCTTCACAAAGAAGTAGACTAGATTAGGTAGTCACATAGATTTTTTTCTGGTCTAAATTTCTGCTTTCCGTTCTTGGCCCCCACACAAATCCTACCTTTGTGAGAAAACGTCTCGGTAAGGGCTGCCATGCTGCAAGGCGATTCCGTAGCCCCGGTCAGCCACTGTGTTCCCCACCGTGTAAAAGGAGCAGTCGGGGTCGTTGATCGCCACATACTCCAGCACGGCTGCATCCCATACGAAAGCATAGTTTCCAAATTTTACCTGTAAGAATATTAACAAAGAACAAAAGAGTATTTGAGGTTGTAGTCACAGGTTAGATGGACAAGAAATATCTATCACAAAACCATCATACAACAGTCACATATAAAAAAAACTTGTATTCTGAATGAGAACTTGCAATTTGGTTAATTTAAAGTTCTGTTTTTGGGGGCCAGTGAGATACCTCAGCAGACTAAAGTGCTGCTTCGACAAGCTTAGGCAAGCACAGGGACCAAGGTTTGATCCCGGCACCACATGCTGTGCTGGTCCTGCCTCCAGAATCAGCTGAGCTGACCACAGAGCCTGGGCATAGTGGCATACAACTATAATCCCAGCACTGGGGAGGCTGAAAACAGGAGGATCACTATGAGTGCAAGCTACATAATGAGACCCTGTAGCAATCAAATATATTTTAAAAAATGATTTAAAAATAAATAAATAAAGTTCTGTTCTCATGGAAACTTATTAAAGTGGAATGTGAGTCTCACTCTAGGCAACATTGCTAGTAGTAATATAATTCCTGACTGGTAAAAGTTATTTAGATTAGAAGAACAATAAATGCATAAAACTAAATGTCTTTGAGCCTCTTATTTCAGTGATGCTTGAAACTTGACTTCCTTCATGGGGAAACCTGAAGACTATGCTTCAGAGTTGTTAGAAAGTGATCTCACTGGGTTACTAAGATTTAAAGTCAGGCGGGTTTCTGCATATCTGAATGCAAGGTTATCCCTTCACATATGACCTATATTTTAAATAAATGTTTTTAACAACAAGATATTTTCTGTTCTATGTTGCTCTAAATTAACCTATTGCCAAGGGTGGTCTGTGCATACCTGACAACTGTACTTAAACCTGTAGGGTGGGCCTTGCAACACAGAACAATAACTCTATGGCCTTCTTTGTCTTCATTTTGGGAACATAACTTTATTCTAGGTCACCTACAATATGTTTAGTGATCCTTTTTCCCTCTCAATAGTCATGTATATCCTAATTCAAACATTTACTCTCCCCAATTCATCTCAAACATTTTAATGAAATTTATCTAGAGAAGTGTTAATATACAAAAATAGAATTTAAGAAACTTGCAACAAAACCAGAATGAATAATTAAATCCAAAGGTTAGTTGCTTTTGTCAAAGTAACTGTGTAGTGTTATTATACAAGGCAAAGTAACACTAGTTTAACACCAGAGTGGATCCTGGGACAATATATCTTACAGATGGGCCTTTAAAATATTTTACATCATCTTGAAAGAGACATCAGAAAGACATCTGACAAAACTGAAAACATTGACCTGTCTTTCAGTAAAAAAGGAAGGAAACAGATTCCTCCTTAGTGAGACACAGAATTGTCCAACAAGTGGCAAAACTACGAGAAGCTGAAACCTTAATTGCCTTGCTATTAAATAAAAAAATACCTATTTTATCTGTCAAACTTAATATCTCCATGGCAGTGTTGGCCTGTGCAATAAAGCAGAAAACAAAAAGTTGGTTTCAACTTAGTAGACAAAAATTCTTAGCAAGTAAAGCCAAAATCATCATGTTTGATAACATATTTAAGAAGTACACCAAAAATAAACTGGACAAGTAATTTAGAAAGCCAGAGATTTCCACATCAGAGTACGTCAAAGAGATATACAAATTATTTGTTTTCTCAATTCATCAATAAAAGTTAACTAATTTGGGAAAAAGAGCCCTTTATTTTATGTTGCTATTCAGAATGTAGCGATCTGTGAGCAGAGGGCAGCTGATGAACACTTCAGCGCTTGACAGAAGACACAGACTTCATTCTGGATAAAACCTTATTTGCTCCTGAGAGGGAAAGTGCACTGGCAGAAAGGAAGAGTAATTTTCCGCAGCTTCCTTAATAATGTGATCCTGGGTGTGATGGCTAAAGGACTTCTCTAAACTTGTCATTAGAAACGGACGAGAATAGCAAAGAAATTTTTTAAATGAAAATAGTGATTATAGATGGAGAATATCAAATAAAGACATGTCATAAAGCCTAAAGATAAAGCAGCATGAAGTGTTTTTAAGGCTGAAAGTTAAGTGTAAAAGAAAAAAGCACCCTTTTTATAAAAGTACATAGTGCTATGTCATGGTCTGGGTTTTGCAAGGGGAAAAATACAATGTAGGACACATACGGGCTTCACGCACCCAGCACCACCCCAGTTCAGTTCAGCTTAGTGTAACAATTTGACCACCGGTTGGCAACCAACCTCATGCTATGTATAGATTATATTGCTAAAAGCGTAATTCAAATATTGGGCATTAAATATGAAAAACACAAGAAATGAGACATATTGATTTCAGAAAAGTCAGTATGTTGGAGTACTAGTCACATTATTTTATACAGAATCACTGAAAGAATCACATACAAAGAGAGCAGGAAATCTGTCTAAACACTGAAGACCTAAGAATGCAGCCGAGGGTCTGGAGTCTCACACCTTGCATGAATGTAGCGAAAACCTGTAACAATGCCTTCCACAAGTCTGACTGGAGGCCTACAGCTCATGGCAACGCCTCATGCAGGCCCACTTCACAGATACGAGCTGGGAAGGCCCAAAGGTCAGCGGTGAAAGTCTGTGCCAGCAGGATGAAAGACCTGTGCCAGCAGGCTGAGGGATCTGAACTGGAGCCAGGAAGCAACGCTCAAGGTAAGAACCAGAGCGCCCCCAAAAAGTACCACAGCCAGCCTCAGCAACAGTGAGGTCCTGAGCTTCTCCAAATGATGAGGACAGCCGAGTTCCCATTAGGAAAGCCAACATGACAAGCTTCTCCAGGAGGCTGAACAGTACACCATCTTTCCTTTTGGATCCAGGAAGTGATGCTCAGGATAAGGACCAGAGATCCCCTAAAGTGACCTGCAAGCATTCTCAGATGTCCTAAGCTTTTCCTCCTCCAAGAACAGCTAAGTTCATCAGGAAAGCCAACCTCCCTTCAGCCTTTCAGTTATGACTCTTGAGCTGCTGGCAACAATCCTGAGGTGGGCTTCACACACCCAGCACCACCTTAGTTCAGTTCAGCTGGGTGTAACAATTTGACCACCAGTTAGCAATCGACCTCATGCAATATGTAGATTATATTGCTAAGAGCATAATTCAAATATTGGACATTAGATATGAAAAACACAAGAAATGAGGCATATTGATTTCAGAAATGTCAGTATGTTGGAGTAGTAGTCACACCACAGAAAACAAATTAAATATAATAAACAAAAGAACTCAAGTTGAAAGAAACAATGAAGCTAGAAGAATATGTGGCTATATTTTTAACTACTATGTTTCAATATATTTGTTTTACACAAAAGTTTTCACATGAACAGCCTAAAACCTGGAGAACAGCTTATGACTACTTACTACTTTTTTGAGCAGGAACCCCAACCAGATCATGAGGCAATCAAACAAAGATAAACATTGTTCTGTGGAAGAAAGCAATCTGTGCAAATAATACTCATGGAGGGTTTGTTATGCACCAGTCACTATATCAAAATGAGCAGTTTTCTTCTCAAAATGTGATTCTAAGAGCAGTACTGCTACAATTAGTCTGCCATTAGAAGTATAGGTTCAAGACCTAATCACAACCTTACTACCATGAAATTTGCTGTTCAGGACCTGGGAGCATGCATCTCAGCAATCTTGCCAACTAGTGATAAAATGTGAGTAAAATAACAAAAATAAGTTTATATGCATGAAGAATAATGAAATTATAATAATTATGAAATATTTGGAGTGTTGATGGTAACAGAACGGAAATATTTGGTTAGATTTTCTCTGCATTGATTGTTCAGAAGTTATCCATAATCTTTGTCCCCTTTCTGATCCTGTGGACTGGCCACCCACTTTCAAGTCTGCTGTGAGCATCCTAGGTTGAAACTTATAGTAACTGAGACAGTAGTGATCTCAAAGCTTCCACTAATAAGTCACTTTAATTTTTGCTCTTCTGTTTCAAACAGCCATGTGGCCTCCTGGAATCTCTTGTAGCTTCTTTACAATTCTCTAGGGACATCCCCAGTTGGGGACATATTACATTGCAATTAAAAAAGTGTTCAGCATTATTGTTACTGCTTCATAAACTGAGGAGCTCTATTTAAATGTATGGTAACATTATCCATATTGTCTCTGGAAATTTAATGTTACAAATCACTATGAATGAATTTTTAAAAAGAGAAGCATTAAAACAGCATGATTATAGCTTGTAGCAAGGGCAATAAAATGTTACCTAGTAACCCAAAGTATTTTAGCTTTTGAAAATGTCCAGGTCCTTTTTATTAACTAAAGCATACAATTTCTGTCCTTTGGGTGGAAAACATTGATTATCAAAGACTATAGTCACTTTTCAAAAGAATCAGAATTGAAAGGTTGTCTGGGAAAAATTTTATCCTATTTGTACAGAGTACTTTATGCTGGGTAAGACAGAGGGCAATGTGAATCTCTGCGCTTCACGTCAATGAATTCCAGGCTCCATGGAGAGGAAGGAAAATACCCGCTGTGATATCTGTCTCCAGTGTTATCAATCTCTGAATCTCACACGGATAAACATTGGCAACCACTAGTGATCCAGGCTGGTGTCTGCAAAACCATTGCTGAGAGCGAAGAGCCTGTGAGCAGTGTCGCACTTCTGAAATGACATTGGGTGATGTTTGGTCCAATTCCTGCATTTTTCCCACAGAATTCTTTAAATTTAATTTTTCTAATAACCTATATTCATGAATTCTAAGATGGTGAAAGCTTGTAAAGTCTACAAATGTAGTCTTGACCCTCTATCTTCAAACTATTCACAACTCCTAGCAGAGATTAGTCCAGCGCTGCATTTCCATAGCATGGAGCATATCTTGGAACTGTTGTAAGAACGGTTGTGTTTAAAGTAGGTGAAGAGAAGGGAAATTGATTGTAATTGAGAGGAATTAGAATACTCAGATCTTTGGTCATAGAAACAGTTGCCTGAGAAGACCTCAGCTATTTAAGTCCCATATGCACGTTGCCTAACTGATTGAACAGATATT